GCTACGGCCTCTCAGCCAATGGGCTCACAGAGCTGCACGACGACCTCAGCGGCTACATGGACGGCCACACCCCCGACGGTAAACCGGACTCCGCGGTCAGCAGCTTCTATCTGGACATCCAGCCCTCGCCCGATCAGTCCGGCCTGGACATCAACGGCATCAAACCAGAGCCCATCTGTGACTTTGCCCCTGGCTCCGGCTTCTTCCCCTACTGCTCCTTCTCTAATGGAGACAGTTCCCCCACCGTGTCCATGGCTGAACTGGGTAAGAAGAGGGGTGGGGTGGGACCACTTAAGCATGGGGAAAACCACACAAAGGTGGCTTAAAATAGCGGGAGGTTGGAGACTCATCTCCAACTCTCATTAAAAGAGCCTCTTTTTTGTAATTAGTTTCCATTAATTAGGGCCAATCAGGATCCAGCAGGGCAGGTGTCTGGGGAAATCACGCTCCGGCTCCCCCGTGGCCAGGAACTCCTTTTACCAGATGTGTTTTCAAAAGCACTTTACTTCTTCTGCTCAGTGTTTTTGAAAGAAAATGTGACCTTTGTTTAAGTGAGCGCTGTGTGGCCCCTCCTCCAACATTTGTGTCAAAACTAGATTGGCTTTGCCTCAACCTTAAGCTATGAGCTTCCCGGAGGCAGTAAAAGGAAATGTCAACAAGCCTTTTCTCAGTCAAAAAGCCCACGCGCCTCTGCCTTTTCTCCTGCTTGAAAGCTCAGTAAATAAATGTGCTCTTCCTGCTACATCACATTCAGTCCTCATTTTATCACAGAACTTTGAGATGCTGCTGTGATCTTCAGCTCCCGTAACAATACTTGTTTTCAGAGCATTTGGCCCAGAACATCTCCAAGTCGCACATGGAAACGTGTCAGTATCTGCGGGAGGAGCTGCAGCAGATGACCTGGCAGGCCTTCCTGCAGGAGGAGGTGGAGAGCTACCAGAGCAAGGTATACAGCGGTCCCCCTGAACGATCCCAGCGCTCCAATCATCTCCCTGTTTAAACTGTTCAATATTCTGTGTGTGTGTTTAGCCTCGGGAAGTCATGTGGCAGCTGTGTGCGATCAAAATAACAGAAGCCATTCAGTATGTGGTGGAATTCGCCAAGCGCATCGACGGCTTCATGGAGCTGTGCCAGAATGATCAGATAGTGCTGCTGAAAGCAGGTATGACAGGCTGTCAGCACAGCCCACTGCTGCCGCCGCTGTCACAGGGAGGAGCTGACCTGACTCACAACGCACACACAAACACACAGAGACCCGCACCCACCTCTGCCCACTCAGCACCCACCACTGCCCACCGCCGCTGTCACAGAGAGGAGCTGACCTGACTGACAACACACACACAAACACACAGACATGCACACACCTCTGCCCAGTGCCCACGCAGCACTCACCTCTGCCCACTGTGCACACACAAACACAGACCTGCACACACCTCTGCCCACTTAGCACCCACCACTGTACACGCAGCGCCCACACGTTACTCTCTACATAAACATTATGTTCACCAGTTTACACGAGTCTAACCCCCCCATCTCCTGCTGTTCATGGCTCTGCAGTGTGTATGTTTAAGCCCATGACACTCACACAACTACAGACTAACAGACGACATGTGGCATTACGGTCACGTTAGTTCCTCTGCACTGGGATTTATGCATCACGGCCATCGGGGAAGTAACTCCTCCTTTAGCGAAAGCCGACCTGGAGCTGGTCCACTGCAGACCTCTTTGGGCGTTGGGACCCCCGAATCTGGAGGAGCCCCCAATCATTCTCCCTCAGTGTCACTAAAGCCTGAAGCCTCAGAGTAATTTGATTTTCTCTCAGTATGACCTTAAATGAGAGTAGTTTAATTTTTAACAAGAAAACACCATCAAAATAGAATCTGATTGTCAAATCTATTTTAACTGTCAAAGCACATTCCCCCTTTCACGTCAGAATGGACAAGTCTTCTAACGAGCTTGACCCTGATTTGAACATAATCACAGTATAATCATAATCATATATAATGGATGTAAACAAAAATGTAACTGTACTAGAAAAAAAATAAAACTACTTTCAGCTCTGGTTTTCTAGTAGGCAACTGAACTAGTAAGACAAGTTTCCAATCCATCATAATTCAAACAGAGCTGAAAAAACAGACAATAAATAAAAAACAAAACAGTGCATTATAGTGAGGGCCCCAAACTCAAGTTTACCTAGGGCCCCCAAATTGCAAACTCCGCCACTGAACAGAACAGAACAAATTTACCAAACTCTCCATCTCAACTCTAAATCACTAAATCCACTGAATTCTTCATCCTCGGTGTCACTTCTGAGCAGCTCCGCCAACTCTAAATCTCTCTTTTAGTCCACGATGAGCTTTTCTTGTTTTCTTCATTGCAGTTGGAGTATCCTCCGCTTTTCTCCAGTGCCTCACAAGTTTCTCACTCACTCCAAACTTTGAACAATGGGAAATAAACAGACAATAAATATGAAAAAATACACCCTCCTACCGCCCATAATCATAACATAATCATAATCATATGTAATGGATGTAAGCAAAAATGTACTTGTACTTGCAAAAAATAAAACTATCCAACCCAATCCACTTTATTTCTATAGCACATTTCACAAAGTTCTGCACAAATATATAATAATTACAACAATAATAAAATGATAAAATAAACTAAACTACTAAAATAATCATACTAGTCTTAAAATAATAAAACCAGTAAAAGAAAATAAGAGCAAAATCATAGAATAGCAATAAATAATAAAATAAATAAATTAATAAATTAAATAAAAATAAAAATTTAATTAAAATTAAAATTCAGCTCTGGTTATGTAGTAAGTGACTGAACTAATAAGACAAGTTTCCAGTCCACTATAATTCAAATAAACATGTAGGTGTCTCATGAACAATGGAAAAAAACAGACAATAAATATAAAAAAAATACACTGCCCCCTCAACAAAACAGTGCATTATAGTGAGGGCCCCAAACTCAAGTTCACCTAGGGCCCCCCAATTGTAAACTCCGCCACTGGGTGCATTACATACGTCACCACCAAACAGCAGAGACTGGTTAAATAAAAAAAGTACCCGCCTACTGTCAAGTGAACGAATCCTAATGGTGAAGTGAAACCGGCAAATGAATCAGGCTAGTGCCCTGTTCCACCCCATGGAAACAAACCTGCACAGGACTTATCAGGGAGCTGTAAAGACATGAGCGCCTGTCCACGCTACAACGTTTTTTGGTCAAAATGGTGAAGTTTTCATTCATTTTGGCCTTTCGTCCACACGGAGCCGGCGTTTTGAGTGGGAAAAAACTGAGTTTTTTCAGAACAGGTTCCAGAGTGGAGAAATCTGAGAACGCTGGCGTTGTGTTGTCACGTGGCCAAACAAACCGCAGCTTTTGGAAAACGATAACGTCACAACCCCGTCATCATCAGGATCCTCCGATGCAGCGAAGTCTGCAGCCCTCAAACTGGCCTCCGCGGACCACAAGACCGTTGCCGAAATGTGACAGGTGTAGCCTACGGAGCCGATCCCATCACCCAAGTTATTCTAATAATTCTCATCCAAATCTTATGGCTAAAAACTAAAACTTCTGTTTAACTTTTGCAAAACAAAACAGCTATACTTCTGGGACACATCTAAAATAAGCTAAACTACCTTAAAGTTTAAAAAATGTTGATGAGATCTGCATTATTAAATATTATTATCATTGTTAACAGCGCATACATACACATACAGGTGTATTACATCGTTTTCACTCCGTGCTCCGTTGTCATCTGGACGTGAATTGATCTGACGTGTGTGGATGCAAATTTTTTTCAGCCCGTAAAAGAAAAAATCCAGGAGCGTTGTCGTGTGGACGTAGCCTCAGAAATCACGTGAAAGAAATGTCACTTGTACAATCTGTAACCCGAATCGTGTTCTAACTGGACCCTTAACATACTAATCATTTCTCATTTTGCAAATACAAGTACTGCACATCTTCTTAGACTCACCCCGGAGCTACACACAAAGGCGGCATGCATAACTCTGGTCTTTTTCTGCTAAATAAAGCGTGAGTGAATTGGTTCTGTCACTGCAGACTGAGGCGGGGCCATTACACAAGACTATTCTTATGTCTGATATCACCGTCCACACAAGTGTACCGCTCCTGACAGCACGTTTCAAAGCGCTCTTGTTTGCTCATTTTCAGAATAAAACACACACACGCACACATACACACGCACGAACGCGCACTCATCCCTGTTCCTCGTGTGTCCCCAGGCTCTTTGGAGGTGGTGTTCGTCAGGATGTGTCGTGCCTTTGACTCACAGAATAACACAGTGTACTTTGATGGGAAATACGCTGGACCAGACGTCTTCAAGTCTTTAGGTGAGTGCTGAAGTCTCGGACCGGGCACAGTGACACAATCCTCCACTGATATCCTATTTACCAACATCCTGAACGGCAAATTTGTGGTTTTTAGATCTTAAAATGTGATGATGAGGAGGCAAGAGACAGTTTTCCCAAATTCCCAAATATGGAACCTGATAATTTATGTTACTGACAAGACCCAAGACATTTTTTGCATCACGTAAAATACCAAATAAAAGTCGCAGCGTTTATTTGTTGCAATCACTTAACACAGACATGTCAAATTCAGGCCCAGGGACCAAATTTGGCCCACGATGTAATTATATTTGGCCCGCGAGATGATATTAAACATGTATTAGAGCTGCCCACTGGCGACAGATAGACTATAGAGACATTACTTATTTAAAATTTAGTTATTATTTTATATTCTGCTTGTTCTGAATTCAATGTTTAAGCAAAACTATTATCAAAATATTTATTTTAGCAAGAAAAGATTTAACATTACATTCGAAAGAAGAGAAAACATGCAGATGTTGAAATTTTTCTATAAATATTTAGTTTGGTGCATAACTTAGTCCAGGTTTTAAATTTTTTTCCTCTGTGAATTTAAATCTGACACCCCTGACTTAACAGACCAGGCGTTTATTTGAGACCAGGCCACAATTTGGGGCAGGCAATTAATTCCTTCATCACAAAATCTTGCTCAGCGAAACTGGGAAAATGTGGTACTCAAATTAGAGTCAGTAAGACTAAAATGTACAGTTTTTTACCATTATACGATGCCCTCGCGATTAATTTGCCAACTTTGTGGGCGCGATTCCTGCCGCCTCGCCCTTTGCTGCTTCCTCCCAATCGCCAAACTGAAGTAATATTACCAAAACTCCTAAAAACTGCTTCCATTTCCTGCCCCGCTATGTTGCGCCATCTTTCTTTTTTACGTCACTTTAAAATAGGGATTTCACAGCAACGTTGTTTGTTCCTCCATTTTTTCAGTGAAGCTGAGGCTGATCGGACGCAGCATAGAGAATACAGCCTATTCATTCAGTCACACGACCAGTCTGGTAAAGTCAGGACTGACCTGAAGTCAAACTGCTCCTGTGTCGAGTGTAAACATCAGGCTCTCTGTGGTGTCTCTGCACTAATCATCAGATCTTGGTTAAATAAAGCACAAAAAACGGGAAATCGGGAAGTGGGAGTTTGAGCCACAACGACTGCTGGACTAGATTGTGTTTATTTTTCAAACTGTACCCCTGCACCCGGCTATTATTTGGTATTTTACAGTATTACAACATAAATCTGCTGTTGAACAATACTGATTTTATCTGAACCCCATCTGTTTTAAATAATATTGGCCTATAAAATGTTATAATGTCATCTGAAACCCTGCAGTTACAAACAGACTATGCATTCTTTCGGCCAAACATCCCAAACCAAACTACCACTTAAAATAGTAGAAAATAACAAGAGATCAACCAATTTTCTTTTTTTTTCATGGTTGATTTCGATATCAATTGTTTAAAATCCAAAGCAACTCAAAGCTGATGAGTTCTGCTGATATTTTTTGGCCGATATTGATTATTTTCCCTAAACTATGTCATTTAAATTTCCTACAAATGCATCCACAGCATTTTCTTTTCACCACAAACCTTTAAGAGAGCTGTGCAGTCATGTTTTGTGCTGTGTTCAAATAAAGCTTTGTGTGTATTTTTAGACGGCAGATCAGACAAAACAAAATGCTGGAGATTCAAGGCCGCTAAAAAGTCCAAATATATGAGTCTATCTCTAAAAAGAACATGTTTTATGAAAAATGTACCATGTTGTACTGTTGTCCCCTCATCAAATACCTGGAGTTGTATTTTGCTTCATTCACTCATTAATCCAAAGTCTCTGAAGACTAAAAATTGCTTTGTTGACATTTTTCCAGTTTAGTTGCATCATAGATAAAACTACAAACTTCTCTTGTGCAGTTTTTAAGCTCATAAAACCATCATCAATTCATTCTACTCATTTATTTTTCTAGCACGGAGGATCACGACTTCATTTGTTTGTGTTGTAATTGTTTATTCCGGTTGCTGACAGCAGGGGGAGCTTCTGAGCCTAAATGCCTCATTGGAAACAGAGCTGAAGTTTAGAAAATATATTTCAAGTGTATACATACCGTATTTTTCGGACTGTAAGGCGCAATATCAATCAATAATGTTGAACTCTCTCGTCTGTTTTCATACATAAGTCACACCGGATTATAAGGAGCATTAAGCGAAACAAACGGACGACACTTGAGACTGATCCTTAGTCCAGGCGTCCACGACGACCATCGGCAGATCGTGGTGTCATTTGCCTCTCTGTCTTGGTGAATGTGGATTATGAATGTGAATGTGGGTGGATCGTTTAAGTTTTTTTTTTTTTTATTTCCTACGAGGACGACTCAAATATACATTGAGTAATAATGTGTTTAGCAGCTTTGCCACATTTGTTTACGTTTTACAGAAACTAAATTTAAAACCACATGGCTCATTTGCATAAACTATAAACTCTGAAAAAAAAGATCGCTCCTTTTTGTCAGACTAAGGACCATAAATTGGGCTTTACCCCGCGAGGTTCCTGACGACGGTCGCCATAATGCTCCGACAATCTATCAAGCGGTGCAGCTTTGTAGTTTACCAAAGTCGTACTAAAACATTTTGAGAGATTTTTGAGCGTATCGTGTACCACATAAAATCGGTTCGAGGTCAGTAAACACAACCAGAATTAATACATAAGGCGCACCGGATTATAAAGCGCACTGTCGATTAAATTGGTCTTTAATCCACGAGGCTCCTGACTACGGCAGCCGTAATCGACAACACTCTGACGATCCATCAAGTGGTGCGGCTTCGTAGTTTACCAAAGTCGTACTAAAACAACAAACACTTTTGACAGATTTTTGAGCGCCGTGTACCACATAAAATCGGTTCAAGGTCAATAAGCACAACCAGAATTAATACACTGTCGATTTTTGAGAAAATTTAACTATTTTAAGTGCGCCTTATAGTCCTAAAAATACGGTATTTTGAAAATTCACCATGTTGTACTCTGTACACTGTTTTTGTTTCATTAATCCAAACTCGTCATCTCTGAACACTAAAATTGCTTTGTTGACATTTTGCCAGTTTAGTTGCGTCATAGATAAAACTCCAGACTTCTCCTGTGCAGTTTTTTAAGCTCATAAATCATCATTAGACTCATTCTACTCCTTTATTTTTCTATCAGGACTTCATTTGTTTATGTTGTAACTGTTTATTCCTGTGGCTGACAGCAGGGGGAGCTCCTAAGCCTAAACATCTCATTGGAAACTAAGCTGAAGTTTTGAAAATATATTCCAAATTTATTCATAGTTTTAAGTTAGAAAATGCAATAAAATACTTCTGTTAAAGGGAATTAAAGAATCCATAATATTTGACTAAACCAAGGCTCGACCTTTGACATAAACCTGCTCAAAGACTAAAATAATTATTCAAATTCAGACATTAAATAAAGTTTGCTTGTTAGAAAACTATTAAAAAAAAACACTGGTTAACATTTCGTATTTTGCCTCTTTTCCGTGACCCTGCGTTTAATTGATTTAAAACGGTTGAGCCTGTCACAACAACACCAAACTGCCAAAAGGGACTCATCTGGAAGCAAAAGTTGGTAAAAAAAAAAAAAAAAAAGCAGTGTTTGTGCAGCAGACACTCCCATGTGCTGTCAGCCTCCTTCCTCTTCCTCCCCTGCGCCTCTCTCCCAATAAAGATCAAGCGTTTGTGTTGTGCTTTGGTCTCCTCCTCCTCACTGCACGCTCTGTCCTTTGCTGTGGCAGGCTGTGACGACTTGATCAGCTCCGTCTTCGAGTTTGGGAAAAACTTGTGTTCTATGCACCTGTCTGAGGATGAGATGGCGCTGTTCTCCGCCTTCGTGCTGATGTCTGCCGGTAGGTGTCAGGAGCAAAAAAAAAAAAAAAAAAAAACACACATACCCACGCTTCTCCCCAAACACAGTCCCAAACCAATTAATCCGACTAAGAATAGTGACTCTTTGGAAGTAGTATTCTTTATCTAACATCACGCATGACACAGTCTGGGTCAGCTAATCTTACCGCAAAGAAAAAAAAGGAAAAGGAGTTTGCCGGTGCGATTGACGTGCGAAGGTTTGGTTGTGTCCCTCGCAGATCGCTCTTGGCTCCAGGAGAAGGTGAAGGTGGAGAAGCTGCAGCAGAAGATCCAGCTGGCTCTTCAGCACGTTCTGCAGAAGAACCACAGAGAAGACGGGATTCTCACAAAGGTACGCAGCTCGGAGCCGCCGCCCCCGTCTCTCCGTCGCGTTCCCGCCGGCTCAGACTCGGGGGAAGGCGCCCGGACCCCGTGCCTTTCCCGCGAGCTGGAAACGGCACATTTATCAATAGTGAAAGTGAAAAGTAAAAGTCGTGTGATGTTGTTCTGCTTCAATATTTACACTGTGTCCTAAACAATCTCTCTCTCTCTCTCTCTCTGTCTCTGTCTATCTCTCTATCCCCCTCCTCCTCTCTCTTCTCTTCTCTCTGTCTCTCTCTTCTCCTCTCTCTCTCTTCTCTTCTCTCCCTCTGTTTCTTTCTCTTCTCTCTTCTGTCTCTATTCTTTCTCTCTTCTCTCTCTCTCTCTCTCTCTCTCTCTGTCTTCTCTTCTCTCTCTCTATCTCTCTTCTCCTCTCTCTCTCTCTTCTCTCTCTTCTGTCTCTTCTGTCTCTTCTCTCTCCTTTCTCTCTTTCTCCCTCTCTCTCTGTCTCCTGTCTATCTCTCTCTCTTCTCTCTCTCTCTGTCTCTCTCTCTGTCTCTATTCTTTCTCTCTCTCTCTCTCTCTGTCTCTCTTCTCTCTCTCTCTCTCTCTCTGTCTCTCCTCTCCTCCCTCCTCTCTCCCTCTCTCTTTTCTCTTCTCTTCTCTCCTTCCTCCTCTCTCTCTCTCTCTTTCTCTCTCTCTGTCTCTCTCTCTCTCTCTCTGTCTCATCACTCTCTCTCTTCATCTTTCTTCTCTCTCCTCTCTCTCTCTCTCTCTTCTCTCTCCTCTCTCCCCTCCTCTTCTCTGTCTCCCTCTTCTCTCTTCTCCCCTTCCTCTCTTTCCCTCTCTCTTCCTCTCTCTCTCTCTCTCTCTCTCTCTCCTCTCTCTGTCTCTCCTCTCCCTCTCTCCTCTCTTTCTCTCTCTTCTCTCCCTCTCTCCCTCTCTTCTCTTCCCTCTCTCTTCTCTCTCTCCTCTTTTCTCTCTTCTCCCTCTCTCTCTTCTCTTTCTCTTCCCTCTCTTCCCCTCTCCTCTCTTGCTCTCTCTCTCTCTCTCTCTCTCTCTCCTTTCTCTTCTCTCTTTCTCTCTCTGTCTCCCCTTCCCACTCTCACTCTCTCCTCTTCACTCGCTTCCTCTCTCTCTCTCTTTCCCTCTGCCCCCTTCCTCTGTCTCCTTCGCTCTTCCCACTCCCGTCCCTCTCTTTCTCTCACTCTCTCCCCCTCGTCTCTCTGGCTCTCTCCCTCTCTCTCTATTTTTCTTTCTCTCTCACCCTTTCTCTCTGTCTCCCTGTCTCTCTTCTCTATCTGTCTCCCACCTCTACCACTTCTCTCCCTCCCTCTATCTTGCTCTCTCTCTTTCTCTCTCCATCTGCCTCCCTCCCTCCCCCTTCCCTCTCTCTCTGTCTCTCTCTCTCTTTCCCTCTGCCCTCCCTCTCTCTCTCCCCTTCCCCTTTCTCTGTCTCTCTCTCTCTCTGTCTCCCTGTCTCCCACCTCTACCACTCTTTCTCTTCCTCTCTTTCTCTCCCCCTGCCCCCTCCCCCTTCTCTCTTTTTCTCTCTCCGTTGCTCTCTCTCTCTCTCACCCTCTCCTTTCTCTGTCTCTTTCCCTCTTTCTGTCTTTGTCTTTCTCTCTGTCTCACCCACCACTTTCTCTTTCTCTCTCTCTCTCCTTCTGTCTCTCTCTTTCCCTCTGCCCTCCCTCTCTCTCTCTCTTTCCCCTTTCTCTCTCTCTCCACCTCTCTCTCCCTGTCTCTCTGTCTCCCCCATTCTCTCTCTTTCTCTCCCACTGCTTTCTCCGTCTCTCTCTCCCTCACGTTCTCTGTCTCCGTCTTTGTCTCTCTGTCCCCCCCCCCCTCCCTCGTCTCTCTCTCTCCCTCTTCTCCGTCTCTTCTTGTCTCCACAGTTGATATGCAAAGTGTCTACCCTGCGCGCCCTGTGCAGCCGGCATACAGAGAAGCTGACGGCGTTCAAAGCAATATACCCAGACATTGTGCGCGCCCACTTCCCTCCGTTATACAAGGAACTCTTCGGCTCGGACTTTGAGCAGGCCATGCCGGTGGACGGGTAGCAGCTCGCGGGCCTCGGGAGGAGAGGAGAACATCGGACACTTTAGCGGAGGCCTGAGCCGAGCCGGAGGAGGAAGGAAGGAAGGAAGGGAGGAAGGGAAGTCGGGATTGGTTCTGCAACTCGCGTTCGGTTCGAAGAGTCACGGCCCCTCCTCATCGTCATCACTTCAGCCTGAACTGGACCCGTGTGCGCTCTTCGCTCTTCGCTCTTCATCTCACTCTCGATGCTTTATTTGCGCATCTTTTTGAAATAAAACAAAGCCAGGCCGACATTCGCAACATTCGCAACGTTCAGTATAAGCACTAACATGATCAGTATTATTTCGTAGAATGATTACAGCGCTTCTGTTTTAACCCGTTTCGAGACGCACGCCCGGTCCAGTTCAGCCGTCTCTGTCTCCGTCTGCCGCAGAGCTCGCACGCAGCCGCTTCGTTGGTGGGGTGGGGGGGTGGGGGGGGAAGTCGTGTTGATTCATCAGCTTCTCTCTACGGACAATCGTTTTAAAAAAAAAAAGAGACATAGAATTCTGGAAATTCTTCTGAAATCACACTGATTTTAGCGTCGAAGACTTCATGCATCATAGTGAAATCATGTAAGGCCATTTGCTATTAATCCTTCTCTGGACAGGCGCCCGCAGGAGGCACCCACCACGAAAAAGAGTCCATTCCACCTGTTTAAATACGCTACAGGGTATATGGTCGTAAGTACTTACTATACAGAAAAAGTAATGTTTATAGATTCTATTTTAAATAACTTGTATGATATTAGTAGTTAGACCATTCTTAATTGTTGAATTGATAAGGCACTTTTATTTACACCTTTGTTTAATTTAAGACTTGTATATTTACCTAGTTAATATGTTGCATGTGCACAAGAAATACAAGAAAGCGAAAGGGGGGGCGTGGTGGCGTCCGGTTTTGGGGGTCTGGGGCTGGACGTTGGGGGCGGAGCACAGCGTGGCCGGCGGGGGGGAGGTGGAGGAGAAGGCAGGTCAGAGTCATGGTCAAGCCAAATACTGCCATTCAAATGTAGCACAAAAACTCATCAGCACAAACATTCTAACACAGAAAGAGAAAGAAAGAGAGAGAGAGTGAGTGGTTTAATAATAATAATAATAATACGACGTTTATGGTTTAAGGTGATGGGGGTTTGTGGAGTTATGCAAGTTTGGAGTTTGGAGAGCAGGCGGAGGGAAAGCCGATAGTGAGCCAAGAGTTCCATCTGGTGGTGGACGCGGATATGACGGGAAGACGGACGTCCCATTCACAAAGGCGTCGTTTCGAGAAGCGGGTTCGGCAAACTCAGAGTCTGAACTTGGATTTAAACCTTCAAAAGCGTCTGAACGGTCGACCGGCGAGGTACAAGAGTCAGTATTTTCAACAACAACAGCATTAAAACGTAAAAGAGTTGTCGTTCGGGATCAATAAAGTATCTAGAAGTAGTAGTTTTTTTATTCGGTCATTTTGCAGCGCTGCAAAACAAAACAAAACAAATCATAGAATACAGCCTCGTGGATCATGAGCGAAAGGGTTTAAGATGAAATAAAAAGTACTTATAAAGCCAAACCCTTTTAAAAAATGACTGAAATCCAAGAAAGATCTAATCTACTATCTAAGTTGCTACCAAAAATATTTTAATGTAGAAAATCGAAATCTACAACTACAGAATAAAACTAATTTAATATTTTTTATGTTATTAGTCTTCTGTATTTTGACACGTTCCTCAACATGTGCCACAGCATTTGTTCGAATTAATTTTCATAGTAAAAAACCCCCCAAAACATTAGACTATGGGTTCACAAGGTCTTGATTATCTCGAACAAGCTGAAAAATATTTTGACCAATTCTTATTTTTAAACCTGTTCACTCTTACAGTGTTGAATTTTGCACTTTCAAATACATTTAAAGTATTGTAAAATCCCTTATAATAGTATAAATAAGTCGTTAAGCAGTATGGGAGTGACAAATATAATGTCAGAACAAAAATAATTAGTGTGAGTTACTGTAAAAGTTTCACCAGTGTATAAAAGTATATCCAGTGTTTCATAATTTTATAGCAGATGATTTATGAAATCAGCTCTGAAAACACCAGTATTATTTTATTCTGGAAGTGGAAATGTTCACAGGGTTCCCACTTTTTTTCACTGACAAAATTTCAGAAATTTTCCATGACTTTTTCATGACCTAAAGTGAATTTTCCATGATTTTACGGGACCTGTATGTGTAGAATTGATCAGACTTTTAGGGCTAAATATGAAATGTGAACTCTTTTCACTCACCTTATGGTTTGGGATTATAGTTTTTTAAACATTCAAAATCCTGTCAGTGCTTTTATGGTTGTCTCTTTTAAACAAAAAAGGCGCAAACGTTGAGAAATAATCAGAATAGTCTAATGAGAACTTAATAGAATGCTGGAGTTGAGTGAAAGAGATACTAAAATTCCACGACTTTTCTAAAATTTTCATTGAATTTACAAAGTTCCATGTCGTTTCCAGGCCAGGAATATGACATTTTCCATTTTTCATGACATTTCCAGGATTTCCATGACCGTGGGAACCCTGTATTCACAATTTAAAACACAGATCTGGATCTGGAAACTAAAGATCTACCATCACCTGATTGTAACCAGGTTTACAGAAGCTATAAAATGACATGACATTTTAAATTTCCATGAGTTTTCCAGGATTTCCATGACCGTGGGAGCCCTGTATTCACGTCAAATTCCACTTTAAAGCACAGGCCTGGATCTGGAAACTAAAGATCCACCCTCACCTGATCGTAACCAGGTCTACACGAGCTCTAAAGTGTAAACAAATGTGACTAAAATCCTTCCAAAAGAGCCCGAACACAAAAGAATCTCAAAAAATATATATATCGCTATGACCCGAAACGCCACTCGCGCTGTAACCGAATTATAAATTAAAAACCGTGAGCTCCGAAAACCAGCTTTGCAGATCCACTTTCTAAAATAAACGCACCGAGTATTTACACCAGCAAGTCCATAAAAAAAAAACGAAAAAAAAAAACACCAAACCCTAAACACGGCGCTGTCTCCTTTCCCTCTGAGTCTGTCTGAACCTCTTTTCTGAAACAGAGCCACAGAGGCAGGGTTTAAGCGAATAAGCACAAAAGCACTGAAATGCACTCAAAGCTTTTCTGTGAGTGACTCTATCTGCCTCCTCGCTGCTCCAGCTCAGCCACGCCACAGCAAGACGACAAAAGAAGGACCGTGAATATTCAAAGCCTTGTCTGGTAGTAAAGCTTCTATTTTTGTATTTTGGTTAATAAACTCATGAAAGAGGAAGTGGAGGAGGAGGAGTGGGGGGGGGAGGTGTCAGGTAGCACTTAACTGTATTCGCGCAATAATTAGACTAGCCATTGTTTTTGTGATTAGGGAGAAAAATGCTAGGACAAGCTGTTTTCAGACTGCTTTGTTGTCGTGTTTTGTTGTCTCTTGTCCGTGATGTAAAAAAAAAAAAACGTCGGAAAAAACACACCCTAGTTGTGCCAAATAATGGTTGTTTCTTCCAGTCTATGAAGTAGAATGGATTCCTCAGACATTCCAGCAATCTTAGTAGCAGCAAAAAATAGAATAATAACGAGAAAAACGAAAAAATAGATGTCGTCCCTTTAGGAAGTGAAGAAACATGCGTCACCCGCCGCACCCTACATGCTACTTTTCCCATTTGTTTTTTGTTTTTTTTTTAATTTACATTGATGTTGTGCAATTTGTACCAAGCCTCGTGCTGTCACCCCTCAGGGAAGTTGAATCATTTTACGTTTTATTTTCTTTTTTTTTATGATATGATTATGTTTGAATTCACTGATGACGTTTGTATTCCGCATTGTTCTCTGGGGTTATTGTTCACTTTTGTTGGTTCAAGCCGTAGACTGTGCGCGAGAACGGACAAAGCGAGCGCGCGAACCCGATTAACGTCGCGTTCTGAAGAGGAAACGAGCATCGGCGAGCTTCCGAAGTCCGTCGATTCTGGCTCGGATTGGCTTTCCGTTGAAAAAAAAGTCATAAATGTTGCTTTTTTGGTTTATACTTCGATATTTTGTTCGTAAATTAAAATACAAACCTTCTTTTTCCAAGTTGGTTGCTAAGATACTCGCCGAAAATGGAACTCCAAATTGAGCTTCGTTTGACTGGAACCGAACGCCGTGGGTGAAGTCGCGCTCGCTTTGTCCGCTTCTTTGTACGGTCTACGGTTTTGTCTACGGTCACCGATGACGTTTGTATTCCGCATTGTTCTCTGGGGTTATTGTTCACTTTTGTTGGTTCAAACCGTAGACTGTGCACGTAAATGGACAAAGCGAGTGCGCGAACCCGCTTGATATCGCGTTCCAAAGATGGAAGCGAGCATAGGCGCGCTTCCCCAGTCCATCGATTCTGGCTCAGATTGGCTTTCTGTTGGAAAAAAAGTCGTTTTTTGGCCTCTCTGATCATTTTTATCCTTCGATTTTTCATCCCTAAACCAAAATAAGAACCTTCTTTTTCCGAGTTGGCTCCCTTCATCACCTTCGCTTCTGATTGGCTCTTCGGTTGCTAAGACACTCGCCGAAAATGGAACTCCAAATTCGCCGCGATGAGCTTCGTTTGACTGGAACCGAACGCCGTGGGTGAAGTCGCGCTCGCTTTGTCCGCTCCTTTGTACGGTCTACGGTTTTGTTGGTTCAATCTACTTTTTGAGACATTGATTTAAAAACAAACGAACAAAAAAACAAAAAAACAATAAACGATCTATGCCCATTAGCACATGCAGCATAAGTCACAAAATTCTACCTTGGTTTTAAATGGTGTCGTCAGGGTCCTTAAAACCGCAACCCTCGTTACATAATAGAGACAAACCAAATATTCTTATGCAATATCGAAAGGGGCGCCGTCGAGGTTACGGGCGGCGTTTCCGAAATGTCATGTTTTGATCCAATGGAGTTTGGATATGCACAAGAAGTCCTGAAATATGACGGTAAAAACTCCCCTCAAAAGAAGTCTGGAACACCGCTAGACAATCCAGGGAGCAGAAGCACGCATAGCACAACCAACCTTGTATCGCGAAGGCTTGGCGGATTCTTATTTATTTGCAAAAAAACAAACAACACATCGAGCAACACTATGTAACTTCAGGGCCACGAAAACGAAGGAGGAAAAGGTGTGGCCAAACTCAACGGGACTGTTAACTTTGGAATACGACACTGGCTACACTAAGCTGCCGATACTGCCTGTTTTCAGATCTGGAAATACTCTCAGATGGGGGACTCGCTTTTGTACAAAAATCATCACCACCAGGGCCGTAAATAGAGATACGGGAGCCCAGTGCAGTTTTTCTTGTGGTTCCTACTTTGATGGAAAAGTTAAGATCCTCTAATACTGAAATTGAAGATTGAAAATAATATTAAAGTACTACTAAAAACAAAA